GGTTGCTATAGGCACTTATGGAATGCAATTGCAGAAGGAAGAGCAAACTCGCTCTCTTTCTGCATGTCAAACAAATATTTTTTTTTAAATGCAGATTGCCAGCCCCATCTTGATCAATTGAATCGGAATATAGTTGGTTTACACCTTAAAGCCTGAAAAAGTATTGCTCTAAGGCAGTACCTAAGCTTTATAAGGCTTGCTTTACCCACATTTATCTCCTTTAAACAAATATTTTGTGAACTTCTGCTATATGCCAAGTACTGGTGCTCCATTTTCATCTGTAAGTTGGGGTCAGCAGCATACTACTCCCTCCCCGTACCCTGCCCCCAGAACTGTGAGCAAATCAAGCTGCCCTGAATGAAAAAGCTGCCAACTAAATAGAATGACAAATCAACTCTTTTTGAAGTGATTCCAATCATGTTGTTTTCACATTTTCACGCAGTGATGTTGCCAAGTTTCTGAAGTCTGATGCTGTTGTACTATGCTCATGTCATCCCTTAAAAATTGGGAAATAAAGGAAAAAGGTATTGAAAACTTTTCATAGTAAAGTTTAAAGAAAATATCTTATTTGCCTTAGGCATCATCCATAGTTTTCTGTTTGGGAATTTACAAATCTATATTATATGCATACCTACATATACATCACATATCTTTAAAGTTCAAAGTGGGACTACCATTGGCATAGGGGTTAAGATGCTGCTTAGAGGGCCCAGTGCGGTGGCCCAGTGGCTAAATCCTTGCCTTGCATATGTTGGGATCCCCTATGGGCACCCATTTGTGTCCTAACTGCTTCACTTTCCATCCAGCTCCTTATTTGTGGCCTGAAAAGTAGTGGAGGATGGTCCAAAACGCTGGGATCCTGCATCTGCACAGGAGACCCAGAAGAAGCTCCTGGCTCCTGGCTTTGAATCAGCTCAGCTCTAGCCATTTGTCCACTTAGTTAACCAACAGATGGAAGATCTTTCTGTCTCTTCTCTCTGTAAGTCTGCCTTTCAAAAAAAAATAAATATTTCTTTAAAGCAGTTTAGTGCACCTGCAGCTGATATTAAAGGCATGTTTGGTCTGAGTCTCAGTCGTGTTTGTCATGTGGATGGCTCCTTCCACACACTCAAGGAGACAGCAGGTGATGGTCCAAGTGCTTGGGCCCTGCACCCACAGGTGATCTAGAATGAGTTTCTGGCTCCTGGCTTGAGTCTGTTCCAACTCTAGCGATTGCAGGCACTTGGGAAATGAGCCAACATATGAATGAGTTCCTTTTCTTGTGTCTCTGCTTTTTAAATCTAAAAATAAGAAACAGAGGTCCAAATAATGACATTTGAGAAATCTTAGGAAATCTTGGGAAATCCCTTTAGAAGGATCTTTTGGAAGGTGGATAGTCGGTAATTGGTTAACTTAAACAGCTGGGTGTCATATTGTCAACTGAAACAGCTGGATTAGAAACTCTTATCTTCATGCACAAAGAGAATTTCAGAAGTGAGACAGAATAACAATAAGCATGTCAACAAAGTTCAATGAAGAGAATACACCTAACAGGTCAGGTGGGATCTCAGCAAAGAACTCAGCCCAGTGTGCATTCAAGAATCGAGTTTTTATAGACACAGGCATACCATTTTTCCTCCCTCCCTCCCTCCCTCCCTCCTCTTTTGGGATGCTGCTGGGCATAGGGCTTTCCTGGGAGCAGTACTCCTGGGCTTTACCAGCATGTTATAATTGCACCTAGTTCCCCTAGTGGCACAGGGACAGGGCAGGGAGGACTCCTCTCTACTGCCCATCGTGGAGGGCTGATAACTTCCTGATTAAGCTGACTAACATGGACAGGACTTCAGCTGTGCAACTGCTACTCTGCCTTAGGAAGGGTAAGAAACTGGGAGAAGTACGCCTTTATATTATATTTATTTATTTTTAAGATTCATTTATTTTTATTGGAAAGGCAGACATACTGAGAGAGGAGTAGAGGCAGAGAGGAAGATCTTCCCTCTGTGGATTCACTCCCCAAGTGACCACAACAAGTGGAGCTGAGCCAATCTGAAGCCAGGAGCCCCCTCTGGGCCTCCCATGCGGGTGCAGGGTCCCAAAGCTTTGAGCCATCCTTGATTGCATTCCCAGGCCACAGGCAGGGAGCTGGATGGGAAGTGGGGCCTCTGGGATTAGAACCAGCACCCATATGGGACTCCGGTGCAATAAAGAAGAGGACCTTAACCACTACGCTATTGCGCCAGGCCTAGGCTTTTATACTTTAAAAGGTAACTTTACTGGGGACCAGAGACCCTAACTGCCTATTATCCCATGTGACTCCTCACATGAGGAAACCGTGTTGCAATGAATTTGGACAGGAAAGAAAAAAGTGACTTTGGTTCTTGTTTCACAGGGAAAAAATTTCATGCAGATAACTTCAGTGAGCAAAGCAAGAATGAGTAAAGTCAGAGTCCTCCTGCAGCAGCATCAGTAGGGGCTTACAGCAGAGGAAAGACCCCAGAAAATGGTGGAAGGAGTGTCTTTCTAGCCCAGTTCAGGTGAGCAGAACAGCTATCTGTCAACAAGAGGGTGTGGACAAAACCCATCAGATCAAAATTGTAATCCCATCAAGCTTGCTCACTACAAAACATAAAGCTATCAGGTGGGTGTGACTGGTAACTTGTTTCCATTTTCATGGTAAGCTAAAAAACTCAGAAGGGTGGGAAAGCACTTTTCTCTTGCTAAAACTACCTTCCTGGAAGAAGCAAGAATTCTTTCAGAGAATTACACTTTGAAAGAAACTTCTGCTTTTCTCATTACAGGAGGGAATCATGACCTTAACTATGTATTAGGTCATCTAACTCTTAAAACAGGACACAAACTCAATGACAAATTTAATAAAAATAAATGGATTCATAGGTGGCCAACTGCTTGCATATACATGCGTGGTGGGGACCAGTCCTCCAAAAGGCTGTGTCTTACACAGCTTGGGGGGACTTAGGAGTCCAGAGGCGAAGGCAATGGTGGAAGAGACAGCTTGCTCCAAGAGTTCCTGTGGGGACTGGGTCTGCTTTCGGATAGGGAGCTGCAATTGCAGAGGAGCTGAAATGCTGGGCCAAGCTGAAGCCAGGAGCCAGGGAATTCCTAAGGCTCCCACAGGAAAGACAGGAATGTCCATACTTGGGCTGTCATATGCTGTCTCCCTAGTTGCATTAACAGGAAACTGGACCAGAAACAAAGCAGCTAAGATTCCATTTAGCACTCTGATACAGGAATCCCAAGTAGCAGTTTAAACCACAACACTGGCTTCACACTTTCTTTCTTTTTCTTTTTTTTTTTTAAAGATTTATTTTTATTATTTTTTTATTGGAAAGGCGGATATATAGAGAGGAGAGACAGAGAGGAAGATCTTCCGTCCGATGATTCACTCCCCAAGTGAGTGCAACGGGCCGATGCTATGCCGATCCGAAGCCAGGAGCCTCTTCCGGGTCTCCCACATGGGTGCAGGGTCCCAAAGCTTTGGGCTGTCCTCGACTGCTTTCCCAGGCCACAGGCAGGGAGCTGGAAGGGAAGCAGGGCTGCCGGGATTAGAACCGGCGCCCATATGGGATCCCGGGCGTGCAAGGCGAGGACCTTAACCACTGCACCGGGCCCCATCTTCACAATTTCAAACAAACGACAGATACAGAGGGAATTTAAATAAGCTGTCAAAAGGGCGCAGTGTGCACTAGGATTGTGTATATTGAAGCGTTTTGAGACAGAGAAGATGGCTGCCAGGTGGGGGAGGGATCATTTGGCAACTAGATGTCGTTTATCCGCAGCGCTGCACTGGGACTCTCAGCTTAGGCTACTGTTTCCTTTTCCCCAAAAGGCCCTGCTGAGTCACTGAGGATCTGCTTGATCTGGAACATATAGGCCTTGCTCTCCTGGGCATCACGCACTGCTTCAGTGGCCTGCTTATGAGACTGTGCCTGTGAGTTTTGAAGCATAAACTTCTCCGACTAATACGGACCCTACAGTTTTCTGCCATGAGAAAAGGCCATTTGAAGAACAGAGACCATTGCTGAAAGCTAGGAAATGGATTTGTGTTTCTACAATTACCCGGGCTAGAGAGTCTCATGCAAAGAGGTTTTCCAGTCATTGGTGCCCAGCAACTGCCCCACGATGATCCTAGAGGGCTCTTTAATTTATTACAGAGATAATACGAACAACCTCCATCCTGCCTTATGGTTCTACTGTCAAAGATGACAGAACAAAGAATCTGAAAGTGAATTCCAACGGGTAGAGCAGCACAAATGTAAAGCAGCATTGTTTTCTCCGCTGGGCAATGGGCGCAGCAGCAAGGAAAGGCTGCCCAAGAGTCTCCAGGTAGATCCTAAGGATACAGCCCTTCTAACGCAAAGCATCCTCGTCCTTGCCATCCAAGTAGGGGACACGGGACCTTTCTCAGCCTCTGCACAGCTCACATTTCTGCTGCTTCCGTGGTTTACGGAAAATGTAATGCTCTCTGGGCAATGGTCACGGTGGGGGAGGGAAGACGGCATACGGGAAGACACATTTGTGGTTGCTTTGAACACCTGAATATTGACTGCGTGGAAGACTGGAGGAAAACCTATTTGAACATCGACCGGCCAAGTCCTCAAAGTTCCCACGTCTGCAGCCGCAGCAGCAGCAGCAGCAGCAGCTCGCGTCTTCACGCAGGCAGGCGGGAGTGACGGAGGGAGGAGACTGGGGAGCAGGTGAGGTGTGGGAGCCGGACACCCCGGGGAGGCCAGCCAATCCGCGCGCGCTCCGCCCGCGGCCAATCACCGGCCTCCCAGCTCGGCAAATCTGCCTGGCAGTGCGGGCGGGGCTGCCGCGAGTCGGGGCGCCGCCGGCAGCGTTGCTGGGTCTTGCAGAAAGCCGCCGGGCAGGGGGCGTCGGGGCTGGGAGGACGGGGGGGGCGGGCGGCGAGCCGCAGGCGGGCCCAGCTTATGGACCACCCCGGTGTCCTCCACGGAAGCCCCAGTGAGGCTGGAGCTGGAGCGCTCGGGCGCGCACACGTGCGCAGACCCAGGGGCATGTCTGTGTGCTGCGCGGGCACCTGTGGTGTGAGTAGCAGCGGGCGTGGCTGCTCCTCGGAAGTGCGGCTGCTGTAAGATTTCTCTCAGGGGCCTGCCGTCTCCCGGTCGCAGAAGGCAAAACTAAGAAGTTTAACGGAGCTGGGACTGAGCCGATTAAGAGAGGCTGGGCCAGGAAAGAGGGTGGGGACTGCGGGTGCCTGGGGTAGGTAGGGAATCACCTCTCGGCCCCCACTCATTTCTTAGCCAGAAAGGCACCGTGAAAAGCCTGGCGTGACAAAGGTGGCCCTGAAATATCGACAGAATCCGGGCAGTGATGATCACTGAGTGAGTGGCCCGGGGCTGAGCCTGACCGAGTCGTTGACCAGAGGGATGCTGGCAGTTAGGAAGGCTCGGAGGAAACTCAGGATGGGGACTATCTGCTCGCCCAACTCCAGCGGGACAAAGACAGCTGTGGAGGTCTGCAATGCCGACTGGATGGCCTCTCTCCCTGCTCATCTCCACCAAGTCCCCCTTTCCCATCTGGCGATCCCAGGTATTCTCCTGTTCTACTTGTTTCACCTAATTTAATTCTGCCATATTAGTGTTGCTGGTGGGTTGGGTTGCTTTTCTATTGTGCTCAGAAAAGGGGGGAAAAAACCAACTGTCAGTGGCCTCCCCTTTTCATGTCTAAAGCAGAAACTTAGCACTGAAGCAGCATCGTTGGCAAAGGGGACCCTGAGAATGGACGCACCATTGTTTTGTTTGTTTGGGTGGTTTAGACTTGCTGGCCTCATTCTGTGGTTGGTAACCTTCTTCATGTCTGAGTCAAGATATGTGAGGAGTGTGCTGACTTGACTGCTTCAAAAAGGAGAGGTGGGAGGTCATTGCAATTTTAAACGTGCATCTAAGTTAAAGCTGGAATATGTTGCCTTTCTGATGTATCTGACCTTGTGTGTTGAAACAACAAGCAGGTAAGCTAGGGTTAGGATGAGGGGGTGAAGATAAAGACCTACATTTTTTTTGTTGCCAAAAATTCCAAAAATAGAGAATGCAGGCTGTCCTCACAGGCAGTCATTAGGTGTGATGAAGTGGGAGTGTTTGAAGCTTTGTCTATATATACACAGGTGTCTGCCTGACGGGTCTAGAGCTGCAGCCTTGGGAAGGGTACTCCAGCTCTACAGCCTCTCAGCTGAGAGGTTTATGCCAGTTTGTCACAAAGTACCCTCTTCCTTCAGCTCCGGGGGTTGTTGGTGTGGTTTCCAGGTACAGATGGAGCAGAGTCGTCCGATGCCAGGACTTGGAAGGCACCCAGTGCTCCTGCCCACTCGGACACCTAACAAAGTGCACTGGTAGACTGCCAGACAGACTGCCTGCTGCTGCCTGGCAGATGACCTCATGCCACCCCAGTCTTTGCTTTCTATGTAGGAAAGGAAGATGAAGAGGAATGCAGGCTTTCCTCCCTCGCCTTCTCCTGGGGGTCGTCCAGGTTCATTGTCCTCATGGGCCCTTGTTGCTTTTGAGCAAGGAGAAACCTGCTGGATTTCTTTATAGCTACAGGCACAGCTGTTCTGTCAGCCGTTGGCAGCAGCTCCTTGGCATATGCCAGATACTCATGCACTAGCACAGGTCTTTTCCATGTTTAATCGACGCCTGTGGAGTCATCACTGAAGTGATGCATGGGCCACGTTCAACATTAGTCATTTGCCTTTTGTCGTGGAATGTGGCCAGCAAGTACTATGTGTTTACAAACAGAATGGCATCCTAGGCAGGCTGTAAATAGCCTCATCATCCCAGGCACATCCGAGGCATGTTAGGGCCTCCTTTTTTTTTTTTTTTTTCTTTTTTTTACTTGGATGGCTTACACCATGGAGCTTGGCTGTGTGCCCTGACTCTGACTAGAAAGGAGATGGACATTTGCTCTGTGCTTTCTAGGATATCTCCATATCTTTACAGCTGCTACAATTGCCAGAGGGTGGAGAGGACTGCAGGGCAGCAAGTAGTTGGGGCCCAGTAGTTTAACTGGAAAGTCTTGAATTAGGTTCTGTCGGGACTGCAAGAGTGTGTACATCTAGCTGCATGGATTTATTCTGCAAAAGGAGGACATGTGGGATTGACTCCTCATAAGATGGACTCCTCATTCATTACGTTGATATTGCCCTTTTCTCAGTGGTAGGAAGGTCAAGGGTATGTTCTCCAATGTGTAGGCTCAAGGCAAGAACATGACTTATGAAGTGCTAGCCATTCAGACACTGTGCTCTGCCAGTTCATTTTCCTTTACCTTGAGCTTAATGTTCTGCAGAGAAAGGCTTGCAGTCAAATTCTGCCTGTCCTTGCTGAGACATCCTGATTGCAGAAGGCTTTCAGGAAGTAGAACTGAGCAGCTGTCTTCCCCTTCCTCTCTTCCTTCTTCCCCCTTGTCCTTCATCTTCATAATAGCTATTATTTTACTGAATGCTACCATGCAGCAACCACTATCATTCATCACTGGCATGCATTACTTCAGATTCTGACACTTCCATAAAGTAGCTAGTAACATTCTCAATCTAGGAATAAGGAAATTATTGTTCAGAGAGGGTAAGCACTTTTCTCAAGACCTCGCCAATCCTGAGTAGCAGACTCAGCGTTTAAGCCCCACCCCCTGTAGCTTCAAAACCCTTCACTGTCCTTATGCCCTTGAGGTGGCCTTGGGAAGTACAGAACAACAGAGGCAATTTTTAACTGAAGAGCAGATTTTAAAGATGTTTCTGTGCAGGGAATGGAGAAATTTTGAAAACCAAGTGGTCTGCGAATGAGTATGTATCATTGTATACACCACTGTGACAAGAGATAGATATTGTGTTCCTGAGTGAAGTATGTATATGTTGCAGTTCTGTGCAAGGATATAGCTATACATAGAACCCAGTAAGCATATATTCATATCTAGTGCTGCTGTCTACTGTGAGACTGTTGTGTTCCCAATCAGGGGTGTCAATAGGTGCCAAGTCAGAAGCACCTGTTAAACTAGGTCCAGTCTATCAGGAAGAGGGTGGGGAAATGGTGATATGGGGTAGGGGAAAGGCAGGGAGAAGGCAGGGGTTCTTGCAATAAGAGCAGAACTGAGATGGACCAAGCTGTCATATTTGAGTGCACCTGCTACATTTGCCTGCATTGTGATGGAAGAGAACACGTGTGGACATGTACCTCTCAGCAGAGCTGGATGTATTTGTTTACTTTGCATAGCTGTTAAAAGCACCTGCTAATGGTCAGTGTCACTCAAACATACTGAAATATCTTAAGAACAACTTCAGAATAACTCTAATTAACAACTGAAAAGAATCGCTTGATTTTCAAAGGGTAAGGAATTTGGGTATTAGACAAGTAAGAGCTTCAAACTAAAGCATCAAACTATGCAAACATTTTCATCAGTGTTAATAAAAACATGATGTGCTCTATGGACAATTGGACTGAGAAGAGAAATAGATTTCAATAAAATATACTGCATTCTGTGGGGGGAGGTGGATGGGTGGGTGTATAGGATCTGTGATATTGAAGGTTTGGATTTCTCAGGATTTAGTTTCTTAATTTGTATTACGACATTGGATTAAATGAAATATGTGATCCTTTCCGAGTTAATTTAAGGATTTTTTTTTGGTGGTGGTGTTGGTTGGTTTTTGCTTTTTTTTTTTTTTTTTGCTTTTGTTTTTGTTTTTGTTTTTCTTTGATTTTTGTCTGTTCTTTTTCCAAAAGCAAGAAGTGATGGAATTGATGATGTGGGTCACTTTAGGTTTAAAGGCTATTTCTGTTATCCTTCATAAAGCAAGAAATTATTTTTGACTGTTACAGACAAGGATTCAAAATCGCCAGGATAGGCAGGGTCCCTGCATTTTGGCATCATGAAACGAGCTAGATGAGTTGCTCTTGATGGACTTTCATTTGATCAGATCTTGGGTGCTTTTTAAGAAACCTCAAGGCTCACGCCCGTGGGAGGACTCAAAATGAGTCAATCATCAACCAAACTGTCAAGAAGCTGAAAATCCAGTGATGAATGTGCGTGTCTACATGAAGGCACTTCAAAAAGTTCATGAGACAAATATAATTAAAAACCTATGCTTAATTTTTTCATAATATGTATTTTTCCATGAAACTGTTGAAGATCACTCGTGAAAGACGCACACCCATATGTAAAGCTGTCGATGGTGAAGGTATTTATATCTACATATATAAATGTTATATATATATATACACATATATATGCCTTCGCTATAGACATTTTCTAAAAACCTGAGATAAGTGTTAAAATAGAGATATAAATAATGGTGTTACAGAAGCACACAGATGGGAAGATTAATTCCAATGTTCAGGATTAGAAACTACTTTTTTGAGAAAATATCATTTGACCTAGGAATTTTATGATGATCAAGATTTTACAGGATGTAGCTTGGGGTTCAGGACTGAGAAAGAAGCTTTCCAGGTCAAATAAATTGTGCTGAAGAATAAGATTGTATGTGTGAAACGTCTAGAAGAGGCCCACTCCTGCCCTTCCAAATCACTTGTTAGTAACTTTATAGCACTTGTTATTATCTTTATGGCACTTTTTAACACATCTTTATTTTCAAGTGAATGCCTTTCCCATAATCTCTAAGCAAGTTATAGGCAGAGAACATGGCTTATTTCCCCTTTATAACCCTAAATCATGGTAGAAGCAGCAGCTCAGTCACTGATGAGAGCTGAGTAAATAATTTAATACATGGAACTGCTGAGTAAAAGTGCTGGAAAAGTGGCTGGCGGTCACCATCATTTTCCATTGTGATCAGATCCTGAATAGGGGTTCAACTTCCCTAAAGGGCTACATAAAGCCTTACAAAGATTTTTCCAAACTCTGCCCTAACACTGTGCATAAAATTCTTAAAGCCATAACAAGGTTCACTGCTACTCTGCCTAAGAATGATAAGGCCAAGTGAAAAGGTTGCGAGAGTCAGAAGCAGAATGCCTGTTGCAGAGAGCATCCTGTTGCTAGTATCGTGTCTGGCCTCTGGTCAGCTATGAGCTTCTGGTGTTGCCTTGCACCCACCTGACCTGTGCCCTGCCCTCCTTTTCCAAGGCCAGCTCTCCCTTTCTTCAGGGATCCTTACTGCTCTCAAGGCCAACGCTGGACTCTGTTCTTCAATTGCTGGTGGTCATCCTCCTCCTTTCTATCATTTTCAGATCCTTTTTTCCTGTGGCCCTTCTTGGTGATTCCTATAATCCTTCTCCCTGGAGCCCCACTCTCATATGACATAAAGATAGAATCACCTGGGGTGGGGGACAGGATGAAGGGAATATTGCTCAAATCTTGCTTTAGGAAGGTGCACCAGATCTGGTGTATATGGGAGATTCAGAGATCACCTCAACTAAGGGCAGATGGATTGTGTAACAAGACGATAGGGATGGCTGTACTTTGAAGAGAGCAGGAACCATGAGTTGACCCTAGAACTCACCTGTTCTACAGAATTTAAGACTGTGAGAAAATAAAATAAAAAACTAAACCTACCAGAATTTACTCAAGAAAAAAAAAATCATATGAGACCACAATGA